GGTATTTTTACATTTTAAAAATTGAAAAATACAAAAAGTATGATTCATCTCATTGTAGTACTCAAAGTGAATCTTTCCAATATTAAGAAAAATCAATATCATAAAAATATAAGTAGTTATGGAAACAATAGTTATGTATGACATGTGAATAAACAGAGACTATTTATTCAGAGTTTGATATAGGAAGCATTTGAGTCATCATCACTTAGATTTGGTAGAAACTCAAAAACAGGAAGGATGTGGAAAATACTTATAGTGAAATAAAGGGAAGGCTTCAGAAATACTCTGATTAGAAGTTGGGATGGGCAAGATGGAGGTGAGTTAAGTAGAAGCAGGACATCTTATGGTTTGGGGAATATATCTGGCTTATATTTAAACCATTTAGAGAGACCTAAATAAATAGCTTTCTTGAGGTATAATCGACACATAACAAATCCCACATATTTAAAACATACGTATCATCTGTGTCATACATACACACCACGAAACCATTACCTATATATCCATCATTCTCTAAAATTTCCTTACTCCTTTAAATCTCTCTCCTACTTCCTCTTTGCTTCTTGTCCATTCCCAAGCAATGACTGGTTTGTTTTCTGTCACTATGTCAGTTTATATTTACTAGAGTCTTATATAAATAGACTCACGCAGTATATACTCTTCTTTTCTTTTTTTTGATTTCTTTCACTCAACATGATTACTTTGCTAAATGAGTTTTGCTACAATTTTGGTAAGAATTTTTCTATCTATATTCATGTGGGATATTGGTCTGTAGTTTTCTTTTCTGGTAATGCCTCTCTCTGGTTTAGGTATCAGGGTAATTCTATTCTCATAGAGTAAGTCAAGAAGTATTCCCTCCTTAATTGTTTTGAAAGTATTTGTGTGGAATTGGTGATATTTTGTCCCCAAATGTTTGGTAGAATTCACTAGTGAAGCCATCTGGGCCTGTTGTGCATTTTTGTTTGTTTGTTTTGCGGGAGGGGAGTGTTTGTGGAAAGATTTTAAAAAATTTATTAATTTTTTTTTTACTGCGGATAACTTGTTTCTTTACTATTGATAGGGCTATTCAAGTTATCCATTTTTTTTTCTTGAGAAAGCTTTGGTAATTTTTGTCTTTCATGGAATTTGTTTGTTTTATCTATGCAGTCAAATTTATCGCCATAAAGTTGTTCAAAATATTATATTATTCTTTTAGTATCTGTAGAACCTATCAACTATCATTTCTGATACTGGTAATTTACATGTAAATTTTCCCTGATCAATTTATTTAGAGGTTTATCAATTTAATTAATCTTCTCAAAGATTCAGCTATTTGTTTCATTGGTTTTCTCTATAACTTTTGCTTTATTGTTTTATTGATGCAGCTTTAATCTTCATTATTTATTTTCTCTTTCTTTGCTATTAATCTGCTCTTCTTTAATTACTGAAGGTAGAAGCCACGGTCATTGATTTGAGACCTTCTTTTCTAATATAGGTGTTTAGTGCTGTAAGTTTCTCTTGAAGTACTATTCTCGGTTACATCCCGCAAATTTTGATAGGCTGTATTTTTGTTTTTAATGAGTTCAAAATACATTCTATTTTGAATTCTTGTTTGATTAATGGCTTATTTAGAAGTATATTATTTTTCCCCAAATTTTGAGGTATTTGCCAAGAATTGTTATGCTATTGATTTTTAATTTAATTACATCGTGGTCAGAGAACATACTTATGATGACTTGAATCTTTTTGAATTTATTGAAACTTGTTTTATGGTCAAGATTATTGTCCCTCCTGCTATAAGTTGTGTATTTGCTTGAGATGCATGTGTGTTCTTCCTGGTTGTGACTAGTATTCTATAAATGTCAATCAGGTCAAGATGAACAATAGTGTTGTTCAAGTCTATTATAACCTTGCTAAATTTTTGCCTGCTTATATTATAAATTATTCAGGGAGAGGCAATGAAGTTTCTGACTATAATTGTAGACTTTATTTCATATTGAAATTTTATTGGTTTTTGCTTCATTTAGTTTGAAATCTTCTTATTAAGTGCATAAGTGTTTAAGATTGTTATATACTTATATTTAATATCCCCATTACCATCATAAAATGATCTTTATTTCAGTAATATATTTTGCTCTGAAATATACTTTGTCTAATATAGATAAAGCCACTCTAGCTGGTGTTAGCATGATGTCTTTTTCCATCCTTGTACTTTAAATTTACTCGTGTTTTTATATTTAATGTATTTTTTTTCTTATAGGCAGCAATTTAAAAAATACAACTTGACAGACTCTGCCTTTTCGTTCGGTGTTTAATGTAATAATTAATATGAATATATCATTTTGCTGTTAGTTTTCTATTTTTCTCATCTGTCATGTTGCCCTTTTTGCACCCTTTTTGGCTACTTTTAGATTAATCAACTATTTTTAATTTCTTATAATATCTCTTTTAAGAGATATCATCTCTTTTAGCTATAACTCTTATTATTTTAGTGATGACTTTAGGGTTTATAGTATACATCTTTAACTTATCACAGTCTACCTTCAAGCAATATTATAATGCATCAGGGGTAGTATAAGAACTTTACAATAATATACTTCCATTTCTCTCCTCTGGCCTTTATGCTATTATTGCCATGCATTTTACTTTTACATATATTATAAACCTCAAAATACATTTTTATTATATGTTTAAATAGTCAATTATCTTTTAAAGAGATTTAAATAATAAGAGAAATAGTCATGTATTTATCCCTGTAGCTATTTCAGTGTTCTTCATTGTGTAGATCCAGATTTCTATTTGATATTTTTCTTCTTCTAGAAGTACCTACTTTAACATTTTTCTCATAGTGAGGATCTGCTGGTGATAAATTCTATCAGTTATATGTAGAAACATTTATTTCATCCTCATTTTAAAAATATTTTTGACAGATATAGAATTCAAGGTTAATAGTTTTTTTTCTTTCGATACATTTAAGATGTTCTACTGTCTTTTTGTTTGCAGTGTTCCTAATGAGAAATATGATGTCCTTAGATTTGTTCCTCTGAAATGTTTTTACTTTTCTGCTGTTTTTAAGATTTTTTCTTTATCACTGATTATGAACAATTTGATTTTGTGTGTGTGTGTGTGTGTGTGTGTGTGTGTGTGTATTACATACTGTTTAGTTGGCTCTGAGTCCTGGTGACCATATGAATGAGTGTCGTTCACAGTACTCTACCCTCAACAGACCTATCTCTATAGCTTTTTTAATGGAAGTCAATTTATCTCATATTTGGTCTTCTTTTCCTGCTGCCTTCTAGATTACTATATACGCTGATGTAATGTTCTTTATTTTCCTTGTGTTTGGGTTTTGTTGAGCTTCTGAAAGGCAGGTTTCTGGGTAAAAATGCAGGTAGGATGATTGAATTCGTGATGAGAACTTATGGAAGTTCTTTTTAGATTGCTTCAATGTTGTCAGCGAAGTAGAAAGCAAGGTCACTGGTTGAGACTGAGCACAGAGGAAGATATTTTGGGCATGTGAGAAGGTATAAAGTTGTCATCTAGGAGGGTAGGAGAATCAATGGAGCACAAAACCATAATATGGTCTTTAGGTGTCTTTAGGGGCTCACTTAAAATTAGTGATCATGAACTTAAAGCCTGCAGGAGTGTTTTTCTTCTTCCAGTTTCTGCTCCAAAGGTGCAGGCACTTAGAAAATACAGTGTTGGGAGTGCCAGGATTATGGTTTTGCCAAATGTTACAGTAACTCAGAGGGAGACAGGGAGTTGGAGATGTATGTAGAGGATGATTGTATTGATTGACCATTTACTATATTTACATCAAACTTCCTTAATTTTTTGCATCTAGGTGTTGAATAGGTGTATGCTGATCCATATATGGATGTGTCTTCACAGTAGAAAACCAGAGGCTAAAAGAAGTTGTCTTATTAGAGCAAATTAACTCTGTTTTTGAACGAAACCTTAAAGTACTTAAAATTGCCTACCTAGCTATGCCTGTCCTGAGTCCAGCCTCTTAGGGCAGCCTCTCTTACACCAAGCTCCCACTGTTCTCTGAACTCCTGACATAGTGGACTTTTCCCCATCCCTTGCACTTGCCACACACTTTTGCATGAGGCTCTCTTTGTAGGGGTGTTCTACCTTTCCATGGTAGTTTACTCATCCCTGCTTTCCAGCTTTTCCAAAATACATTTCAAATATTCCTATAAGCTTAGTGTTTAGTTAGTATGCCTACTTCTTAGCACTTGTCACAGTTTTAATTTCACATTCGTGTCATTGATAGCTGTTTGCTACTATGCAGTTAGCTTCCTCTGGACGGGGACCTTACCTGTTTTTAGACTCCATTGAACCTAGCATAGTCTCTGGTACATTGATAGGTGGTAATAAACATTTTAAAATAAATAGAGGTGAAAGCAAGTAAGTATGATATGTGAAGCTTGGTGTACAGAGTAATATCTTTCCTTTAGATAATTTACGAGAAACTGGTAATGCTACATGCCTACCCTCAAAATCTTTGCCTAGAACCCTGTACCAGGTACACAGAACGAAGGTAAAACACACAAGAACCTTTCAGTCCCACAGCCCATGCCAGACTTTGGGGGACGCCTGCGCACTGGCCTCCCGGAAATACGCAGGGGAGTGGGGCGGGGCTCCGGTAACCTAGGCAACATCCCGGAAGCGATGGTCTACGTTAGCCTGTGGCGGGCCCAGCAGTTCTGGAACCTGAGATTTTTAGTCGTGGTGGAGGCAACAGTCGGAAAACGGCAAGGCAGGTTGTACTGACCCGGCAGAGTCCTGCAGCCTTCAGCCCCACCAAGCCTTATTGTTCGTGCTGCAGCGCGGGGGGAAAGGTGACGGCGTCTTTCTGTTACCTCGGGATCCAAGCACCTGGGTAGAGGATCCTTACTACAGACAGCGCGCCTGCGACTCTGTGTTTTGAGAGTATATTTGCGTGTCAAGATGCGTTGCCTGGGTGTGTTTGTGTCTAGCGCGTGCCCTCTAGGAGCACCCCGAGTGGGAGCCAGTGCACCGCTTTCGGGTACTTCTGTATAGAATTTACAAGGAGTTTACAGTCTAGTGGGAGTACGACTACCAAGCGCACTCGGCGACAGAGAGGGTCATTTAAGTCGATTGGATATCTGGTTAGGAAAAGGTTTTGAGGAGGGGCCGCTTGAATGAGTTTTGAGAAGTGAGTCGGAACTAACGCCGTGGAGATGGGGATGAAAGTCTGAAAGGGTGTTCCAAGCAGAGCGTAAAGAATGGAACTATATATGAAGGTGAAGGTGAGAGCTTTGTGTTAGGATGTGTGGGAGAGGTGAGAGGAGAAAAGACTGGAAAGAAAAGTCAGCTTGGCCACACCGGGGAGAAGGGGACGGGAAGAGAGTATCTGAGTGCTAAGCTGAGTTGGAATCCATTTTGCAAGGAGGAGCTATTAAAATCTTTTGAGCTGTACTTTAGCCCTTTATTTGGGTAGGATTGACAGTGTTTGGAAAGAGGCCTTGTTTCTCCTTGATCAGTTTTCCACTAGCCAGAGTGGATTTTCTAAATCCCATCATAACTCTCTTTGCTTAAAATCCTTCAGTGGCTTCCAGTAGGTTTTTAGGATAGTGTTCAAGTTGCTGTGGCCACAAGGCCATGATCTGGCCTCTGCTTTTTAAAAAATCCTCATTCTAGCTTCTCATCTTCTCAAATCTTTGTTAGTCAAACTGAACTCACACACTTTGTAAATGCCTGCTCCACGCCCAGCATTCTTTCTTTCCCCCACTTCTAACTTTTATTCATAGTTTAGCCCTCTGCTTAAACATTTTTTGAGGGAATTCGAGGGAGAAAGTGGCCTTTTCTAACTATGTAGAGTGAGTTAGGTATTTTCATGACACTGAATTCACTTCCTATGATACGCTATTATTGCAATTACTCATTTAAGTGTTATCCCATAAACTCTAAGCTCTGCGGACTGTTCTTTCTTGCTGTATCTGGTGCCTTGCTTTTGGCATGTGCTTTCAAAATATTTGTTGAAATAATATGAAGTGAGTAAGTGAATGAGTGAAAGGCAGACCAGGAGAAATAGTGAAAGCCCAGAAAAAGCATGAGTAGTAGAGATGAGGAGGGCACATATGAGAGAGGTATTTTCGAGAAAGAATGAATAGCTTCTGGTATCTGGCTATGATACAAGAAGGTTTTAAACTGGAGCAACTAGAAGCATGGTAATTCTGTAAGTTCAGCTGAATTCAGCAGACATTTACTGAACAAGCCAATTATATATCAAGAACTAGAGGCTGGCAGGGAGAGGGGCATAGGTAATAAGCTGTATTTTGACTTCTGTATTTGAGATATTTGGGGGATGTATACAGAAGGCAGTTGGAAATGAACCGTTGATGTTTTGAAGAAAGGCGTGAATCCTTAATTTGGAACTCATTTCACAGTTTGTGTACTCAGTGCATTTATAACTTTACTCAAGGGAGTGGATGAGATCAGTGAGGGAGAATGTGAACTCCCCGTTGGTGGGAGGATCTGAAGTTCTTGGTAATCTAGAAAGTGAGCTCCAGGGGAGCTGGCACCATATTAGATTTGTTTCCTGTTTTATCTCCAGTGTCCTGCTGGTGTCTGGCATGTGGTAGACTCAAAAACAATTATAGTCTACGGCCATGCTACCCTGAATAAGCCTGATCCCGTCTGATCTCAGAAGCTGAGCAGGGTTGGACCTGGTTAGTACTTGGATGGGAGACTACCATGAAGACCAGGTGCTGTAGGTGTAAAAAAATAAAAATACAAAAAAGGGATTGTAAGCTGACAAGGTCCTTGCAATCTGTGAGGTCCACCAAGGGTTGCCTCGCTTAAAAAATTAAAAAATTAAAAAAAACCCCAAACAATTATAGAATAAAGAGAGGGAGTGTCCAGTGAAAATACAGGGGCACTGGGATGAACTGGGTAAAGATCCTTGATTAGATGGTATGGAGCAGGGACCAACAGGCTGCAAACAAAAGGAGAAAAGACTAGGGGAGAAACCAGGAGAAAGAGTATCGTGGAAACCAAAGGAGAGGAGACTTCCAGGAGTGGGAGTCTGTAGAGCTGGAAAGGCCTGAGAAATAAGAAGGGACCAATAATTTTAGCAATTAGGAAGCTATTAGTATTTTCGATTTTCTCTAAACAGGCCTAGATTTTCTAGGCTGTGCTGATTTTATTATTAGACTCCTTAGCACTTTATACCATCAGAATATCTCTATAGTCTCACATGCCAGCATGTAAACTATAGCTCCTTTATATATCTGGTTTCTATAAGTGGTACACAGTCCCTTTGTTAAGTTCACAAAGTCTGATCCTTGGTTAAGAAAAATGTGGTCACCATTATTGGTGATGAAGAGAACACTTCTCAGTGCAAAGATGGTCCTCATGTTATAGAAGCTTGAAGTGTTACTGGGACTTAGTAAACCAAAGTGCTGAAGTATGCTTCTCTTTCAGGAAGTATGCCTCTCTTGTTGGTGAAGGGCACTCCAGAGATGGGATAGCAGCTTAATTATACCTTTGTGATCTTACTGTAAACAGGCTGGAATTTAGAGTTGGTCAGTCTGTTAGTTTCCTGTGCTGTAAAACAAATCACCATAAACTTAGTGGCTTAAGACAATACTCATTTATATCTCATAATTTCTGTGGGTCAGGAGTTTGGATGTGGTTTAGCTAGGGACTGTGCTTAGGGTCTCACAAAGCTGTGACTGAGGTGTTGGTGGTTTGTATTCTCATCTGGAGGCTCAACTTGGTAAAAGTCTGCTGCCAGGCTTACCTCACTCGGGTTGTTGGCAAAATTCATTTCTCTGTGGCTGTCTGACTGAGGAATCTCGGCCTTTTACTGACTTTCTGCTGGAGGCTACCCACAGTTCTCTGAGTTTCCTGCCACATGGCCCTCTTCATAGGCAGTCATAAACAACATGGCAGTTTGTTTCTTCAAGGCCAGCAGGAGAGAATCTCTTGCTGCTTTGTACGACTTGTATAATATAACGTAATCACATGAATGACATCTCCTCACATTTGACTTATTTTGTTGGATAAAACAAATTATAAGAAAAAATATACCCCCCACCCCACCCCCTGCCCCTGCCAAACCAGTCACAGGTCCTGCCTGAACTCAAGGTTAAGGGATTATACAGTGGCACGACTCATTGAGGGTCATCCCAGCTTTGCTGGGCCAAAGTGAAGTGGAAAAATAAAATAGCAACAGTCGTTTCCTCTCTTAGTCCATTTGGGCTGTTATAACAAAATACTAGAGACTGGGTAGTTTATAAACAATGAATAGATTTCTCACAGTTCAGGAGGCTGGGAAATCTAAGATCAAGGTGCCAGCATGATCATGTTCTTCCTGGTTCATAGCTGGCACCTTCTTGCTGTCTCCTCCATAGTGGAAGGGACAGGGATCTCTCTAGAGCCTCTTTCATACAACACTAATCCCATTCATGAGGGCCCCGCCTCCCAAAGGCTCCACTTCTCAAAGGCCTCACCTCCTAAGACCATCCATCATCTTTGGGGGTTGGGATTCAACATAGGAATTTGGAAGGACACATTCAGACCATAGCATATACCTTAGTTTAACTACTGTTTTTGTTTGTTACATTTTCTTATGTGCATGTTGATAACTTCAGATTCACCCAAACAGTACTCATGTATTTGATCAATTGTTTATATTAATTTTCTTATCACTTTGCTTAAGAAAAGCATTTTTGTTTGGATACACTGTATTTACCATCAGAAGTCACTATTGGTATACAAATAGCTATGATAAAAAATACTGATTTTCATAAATTTTTGATATTGTTTTATTGATAGCCTCATCAATGAAGGAAACAAGTATATGAGCCTTTTAACTGCTTTTGCATACTTCACATTCTTGGTTGATTTTTCAGAATTGAGGCTGGTGGAATTTCAGCCTCTGAATAAGTATATTTTAAATAATGTAACTTGAAATGAATTATTTTATGTGTAACCCAGGCTTATTATAGAAAGTTTAGAAAATATAGAACTGACCAGAGATAACTCAATACTAGTAATGTTTTTTAGAAGTGCATTATATTTAGTCAGTCAGACTTGGTTTTGAGTGTCAGTTCCCAGCTCTGTCCATTATTATTTGTGTGACTTTGAGCAATATACTTAATGTCTCTAAGCCCCATTTCCTCATTTGGGAAAGGAGGTTAATAGTTGTTGTTACTGACATCGTCATCATTAATCCTTATACACAATTTAGTATGTGCTAGACAAGGGTTCTAAGCACCTTATATATTTAATTAGTTCCATTTTATACTTAGTGGCAAAGCTGGGATGTAAACCCAGACTGTCTGGTTTCAGACTCTTCTCTTAACCACTGTTATATTGCCTCTGAAGAAAGTACATGTTTCATAGGATTGTGGGATTAAATGTGAAGCTCTTAGCACAGATAAGTGTTTATTAATTATATTGAATCATTGGGAATATACTATACACAGAGTTCTGTATTCAACTTTTTACACTTAAAGTTTTATGTATTTTCCTGTTATTGATATTCTTTAATATAATTTTAATAGTGCATAATTCACCAAATAGATTTACTGACATTTTGATTTTTCTGTTTCTGCAGAGTAAAGATCTAAGTGGTTAAAGATACATTAGAAAGCTTTTTTCTAAACAATTGTTATATTTTTTCATTTTTTTTATAACAGCTTAATTGAGATATAACTCACATACCATAAAATTTACCTCTCTAAAGTATACAATTCATAGGTTTTTAGTATACAGTAGTCTCCCCTAATCCATGGTTTTGCTTTCTGGGTTTCAGTTACCCACGATCAACTATAGTCTGAAAATATTAAATGGAAAACTACAGATAATTTTGGGGAGAGATCACATTCACATAACTTTTATTACAGTATATTAATTGTTCTATTTTATTATTATAGTTGTTAATCTCTTACCATGCCTAATTTATAAATTAAACTTTATCATATATATGTATGTATAGGAAAAGTATGTATAAGGGTTCGGTACTGTCTATGGTTTCAAGTAGCCACTGGGGGTCTTGAAATGTATTCCTTTTGGAGAAGGCGGGGCTAGTGTATTTACAGAGTTGTGCCATCATCACCACTATCTAATTGTAGAACATTTCACCACCCCAAAAAGAAATTCCATGTCCATTATCAGTCACTCTCCATTCCCTCCTCCCTCCAGACCCTGCCAATCACTAATCTGCTTTATGTTTCTATGGATTTGTCTTTCCTAGATATTTCTTATAAATGGAATCATACAATATATGGCCTTTGGTATCTGACTTCTTCCTCTTAGTGTAATATTTTCAGGGTTCATCCATGTTATAGCATATATCAGTACTTCATTCCTTATATTGCCAAATAATATTCCATTGTATAGGTATACCATATTTTATTTATCCGTTCATCAGTTGGTGGACATTTTAGATGTTTCCATTTTTTGTCTATTAAGAATAATGCTGCTATAACATTCATGTACAAGTTTTTGCATGGACATATGTTTTCAATTCTCTTGGGTATTTACCTAGGATTAGAATTGTTGGTTCACATGGTAACTCTGTGTTTAACTTTTTCAAGAATTGCCAAACTGTTTTCCAAAGAGGCTACACTATTTTACATTTCCACTAGCAATATATGAGGATTACAATTTCTTTAAATTCTCACTAATGCTTGTGATTTTCATCTTTTTCATTATATAAACATTCTAGTGGGTATGAGGTGGTATCTCATTATGATTTTGATTTGCATTTCCTTAATGACAAATGATGTTGAATATCTTTTCATGTATGTATCGGCTCTTTGAAGTATCTTTTTTTTTAGAGAGATGTCTATTTAGATTTTTTAGCCCTTTAAAAAATAGGTTATTTGTGTTTTTATCGTTGAGTTTTAAGAGTTCTTTATATATTTTGGATACAAGTTCTTTATGAGATATATGATTTGCAAATATTTCCTCTCATTCTTTGGATGTCTTTTTACTTCCTCGATGGTGTACTTTAAGTCACAGAAGTTTTTAATTTTGAAGGAGTCCCAATTTTTTCATCGGTTGCTTATGTCATATCTAAGAAACCGTTGCTTAACCCAAGGTTCATGATGATTGATGTTTTTATTTTCTTTTAGGTCTTTTCTACTTTTAGCTCTTACATTTAAGTTAGGGGTCCTACCTCATTCTTATTCAAAAGGATATCCAGTTGTTCCAGCACCATTTATTGAAAAGGCTGTTCTTTCCCCCATTGAATTGCTTCTTGGAATTCTTGTTGAATATAAACTGACCATAAATGTAGTTGTTTGTTTTGGACTTCTTTTTCATTTCATAACTTTTTAAATGGTATTTATTTACACCTACAGCATGACCTTCACATTTGGCTAACTCTCTGTCCCTTAGATTTCTTATCTTCAAAACGAGTAATAAATAGTAAATATTTCATGGGGTTATTGTGAGGATTGAAGTGGGTAATATGTGGGAAGAGTTTAGAACAGTACCTGTAGAAAGCACTTAGTGTATGTTAGCTAATGCCATCATTACCATCGCCATTGTCATCATCATCACCATCATCACTACCATCACTGGCACCATCATAAAACTTGTGTTATTTTCTAAGTCGTATATGATTTATCTCCTTTGGTGCATTGTAAACCCTGAAATTAGATACTGTGTTTAAAGAGTAAATTTGGTAAGAGTGAGATAGGACAGAAAGCAAAGAAGATTGAGGGTACACACTTGAGAAACACTTGGATTTAGGCATCTTTATTACAGTAGACTAAATGATTTTTAAAAATATGTACTTAAAGAAAATACTGGAGTCTTTGTTTTATGATAATTTTGGAGTAAGGGAGTCAGCTTGAAAGTTCTGTGATTAGCTGTATAAAGATGTTCTAGAATAGGAGTCATGTATATGTGTTGCTTTTTAAAAGCTATATATATAAGTCTTGTAAAATCCTAGTGTTCAGGGACTGAGTCTTTTTCTAATTTTGTGTAATGTTTAGTCCAGTGTCTTTAGCATTCCTATTTTAAGAGTGCTGAACAAATGTTGGCAGTTTTCAAATTCTTGTTTAGTGTTAATAATCACTTCTATTTAGTATTATATGAAAAATAGACTAGAAATGGTATTGTAACTCATTTGTTCTCTAAAATTTAGCTACCTTATTTAAGGTAGGCACATGAGTATCTGGTAGTGATTTGAATGTTAGAATACTTAAAAAAGAACTCCAGTTCTCTTTTGGCCTCCTCCTCTTGTATTCATACTGTTAGCATATGACTGACATTTTTTCTATTAATTGTGAATTTATATAATTGATGAAAAAGTTTTTGATTACTGTCCTGGTGCTCTGCATTCCTAGAGTTTTTAATTAAGCAAATATGTACAAGTTATTGCTTTGAAACCTCTTTTATCATGGTTATCAGTATCAATTTTCTATTAATTGTGTAGTGAAAGAACCAAGTCTTTTGGTAGCCTATTCCTTTTATTATGCTTAAAATTTTCTTCTGATGTTTTAAAATTTATTTTCCTAGATCTCTTTTTCCCTCTCTGGTGATGCTTAATTACTAGTTTTTCTTATATTTTAAAATTTTGATATATTACTACTCCTAGATGTCATTTGTCAGAGTGAACCGTTACTGTCCCCGGGGAGGAGGAAGGAAAGCCCTGAAAGTAAAGAAGAAGAAATCACCAGTGAAGCAAGAATGGGATGTAAGTCTAGGTGGGATGATAAGCAATGTAACATTACTCTGGAGGAATGGCCCTCGTCACTCAGCATGGTGCTCTCAATGGGGCTCAGCATGTAATAGAGTGGGATGGGTTTCTGGGCATATTACAGCCTAGGTCTTGGAGGAAAGAGCAGAATTTTTGGCGGAGTTGTTTTTAGAATACATGTGTCCAGGCTGTAACCTCTACTTCTTTTGAAGAACTGGAATCTTGAGGGGATGGGGAATGTGTTTTAAAAGCACCTCCCCCGCTTCCCCCAACTCTACTTTGAGAACTCACTGCTTTAAGGCCACTCTAACTACAACCAGTGTCACTGATGTCTGGATCTTTGTAGTTCTTTTTTAGATTTGCCCATAGCAACCAGTGATACCATAATCATATGAGTGGCATTTTTGGCTGAAAAATTGGGTGATCCTTGCTCTCTTACCCCTCAGATTGTTTGTTGCTCACCTCCAAAAGCTGGTTACTTCAGTACAAAGATTGTCTTAAGATACTAAACAAGTCTCAAGTACTTGGGACATGATCCCTGGCTTCCACCCTGAATGCTGCCTGGTATTAACTAAGGGCATTTTTATCTTTTGCAGCCCAGTATTTGGGTTTGGAGCAGGAGACTTTAGGTGCCTGTACTTCCTGTTTTTAGGAGTAACTAGTCAGGGACTAATTTGGATCTCAGGGACTTTTAGATTTGCGACCAACTGTCTTAGCCAGTTATCTTGGACAAACTGATGACCTTTGGAAATGGGACAGGGATTTCTCTGTGTTTAGATTACTTCGTTGCTGTCTGATTTGCTATAAAATATAAGGGTGTGATTCTAAGATAATGAAACTGATTAAAAGAAAAAAAAAATGCACATGATAACATAAGTATTGTCCCCTTCAGAGTGGTTACTTTGGGAAGTTCAGTATTCTGATATACTGCTATTGCTGAAAACATAATTGAAATCCATCCTTTGAAATTGCATCAGAACCTTTCTCACTTATGATATTTTTATTATCTCCTTTGTTTTTTGAAGGTAGACTGAACTTGAAAATAGTTATAAGCCATTTGGAAAGAATGGTGAATGAAAGAGGAGAGATCAAACTGAATAATACTGTTTTGATAAAAACAGTGAGGTGTTTTCCGAAATGGCAATTCAGAAAATTGGATTTAAAGGCAATTTCAAAAAAAAAGTTTTAAGTGGCAGTAATATTAATGAAATTATATTTTCTCTCATGAGAACTAATTCCAAGCATATCACTGATATACCTGAATTCTATTATGATTACTAAAAATAATTCTCATGATCTTATAGTTGATCTTGTACTTTTCTAAATCAATATGAAAAGTTTTAGTATAGAAAACCTCGAGCTAAATATAAACTATAGCCAAAAAGTTAAATCTTTGAATACAGCAAAAGCTATTTCACCAGACTCAGTTGTCCATATTTCTTTTAGAAGTAAAACTCATTTTATTTCCTGCTTTACCAATTCTGTATAACAAAATGGCTGAAGTCATTTTGTAAAGGGCCAAATTGCAGAGCTGCTCTTAGAGCTGTGTAGGTGGTACATTGCACAATACCAAGGGGATACTGTTATATTGATTAGGATATTAATGGTACCTCCTGGAGTTGTGCACTGTGGTAGCCCCACCACACTGATTTTGTACCTTTTAACTTAAGTGACTATTTTCACATTTTATGACATTATACAAACTTCATCTTTTATTATGCTATGTTCTATGCTTAAGGTGTTTGCATGAAACTGAACGTCTCTATAGTGATCACAGTTTATCTTTTAGGAATCTTTAGAAGTGCTTTATTCCATTGAATACAATTTGAAAATTACAAATTTATCTAATACTCATTTGAATTATATACTACCCTGTTTTGTTCATTGTTTTTATAGTATAATGTATGCCTGCTTGGTGAATTTAGTCTTTATTTTTGGTAAGAGACCTAAAAATAGTTTGTTATTTTCTACAAGACATCTAAAAATTATCCATATTAATGTTGAAATTGAGAATACTGCTTCGTGAAAAGAAAGACTTTTTGATCCCAGGATTTTCAATTCATTTTCAGCCATTAAAATCCAGTACATACTCACACCTAAATACACATATATGAACAATATCTATTTATAGGTATGATATAACTTTCTGAAGAATGTGAAAAAAGTATGACAATAAGTTTGAATAACAATTTACAATTATTTCAATTTAAATACATTTATTTTATGTATTATGTAAATATATATTATGTAAAAGTATAAAAAAATTTTATTTCAATTTAAAATAGGAATTTTATCTTGCTAAAATGTGATGATCAAACTCTTTAACTCTTCAAAGAAATATTTTTTGGAGCGTAGCATCGTAGCATGCTTAATTAAATATAGTCTTTTAACTGAGAGCCTTCTGGCATGTAAAAAAAAGGTACAGAAAGCTTGAACTAATGAAAGAAGGCTTTTGAAAAAAAGGAAAATGAATTTCATAAAAAACAAACTGAAACTGATTTCAAACAGGTTTTTTTAACTTAGTCTAAAGAGAATTTTTCCTATAAGAAAATTACACAAAAAAGTGAATAAACTTTATCTGTCTATCTATCTGTCTATCTAACTATCTATCTATCTATCTATCTATCTATCTATCTATCTATCTATCTATCTATCTATCTATCATCTTTTTAAATTAAGTTTATTGGGGTAACATCGGTTAATACAATTATATAATTTTCAGGTGTACGTTATCATTTGACATCTACATATTCTATTGTGTGTTTACCACCCAAAGTCCAGTTTCCTTCAGCTACCATATATTTGATCCCTTTTACCCGCTTCACCCTTCCCCTGCTCCCTTTTGTGACCCCCTTTACCCCATCTACCTACCCCCCGCATACCCTACCCTCTGGTACCACTGGTCTATAGTCCATGTCCATGAGTCTCTGTTTGTTTGTCCTGTTCCTTTGTTGCTTTTAGGTTTATATCCCACATATAGGTGATATCATGTGATTTTCAACTTGTTCTGTCTGGCTTATTTCGTTTAGCATGATTATCTTGAGTTCCATCCATGTTGTCGCAAATAGCAGTATTACATCTCTTCTTATAGCTGAATAATATTCCATTGTATATATGTACCACAACTTCTTTTGCCAGTCATCTATCATAGGGTATTTTGGTTGCTTCCTTGTCCTGGCTACTGTGAATAATGCTGCTGTGAACATTGGTGTATAAATATCTTTATAGATATGAGTTTTCAAGTCATTGGAGTAAATACCCAGTAGAGGGATTGCTGAATCATATGGTAGATCAATTCTTAGTTTTTTGAGGAACCTCCATACTGTTTTCCACAGTGGCTATACCAGTTTGCAGTCCCATCAGCTGTGTATGAAGATTCCTATTTCAAAAGTAAATAAACTTTAAAATCTTATTTTAAAACACCCATTAAATACTAATATTTGTAAGAATCCTTTCTTTTTTTTAAGGAAAGTTCTTTTTTGCAGAGTACTGTGAATGATTTAACAGTTCATCGGGCAACTCCTGAAGATCTGGTAAGTTTATTATCAAAAGTTAAAATTTATTTAATATTTTATTTGATATTTGGTTTCTTACCTTTAGAAATGAAACCAGAGGCACTTCTTGGAAGTCGTTCAGTTATATTTAATCTTGCTTAAGTCTATGTAAAATCATAAAACATATCTTCTGTACTTCCTGATTTTACCTAAGAATATTAATTAGCATGTATTAGAATTTCATTAGATAGGTTTGGTTTATAGTTGAAATCTCTCTAGTCTCGTATTGCCCTGTATACATCTATCATCTTTTCCTATCTATAGATATCTTCAGCATTATTTACTATTTCTTCCTGACACAAACATACTAGTCTAGTTAATGTAGTCATTTATTCCTTGAACCAGGGCATCTATATTTCCACATCTGAGCCCCAATTCATGCTATTTTTCTTACTTGGAATAGTTTCCCTACCTTCTTCTCAACCTCTCCAAATCTTACTTTCCTTTCTTATCCTAGTTCAAGTCTTACTTTATTTTTTAAGTTTGTAGTATAGTTTTTATTTTTTTAAAAACAGCTTTATTGTGATATAATTCAACATACCATAAAATCCACTCTTTAAAGTATAAAATTTATTGATTTTTAGTATATTTACAGAGTTAAGCAACCATTATCACATTCTAATTTTAGAACATTTCATCACCCTCCCAAAAGAAACTCTGAATCCATTAACAGTGACTTCCTATGCCCCACCCCGCTCTCCCCCCCAAAACCCCTAGCAACAACTGATCTACTTTATATTTCTATGAATATGCCTATTCTGGACATTTGGGTTGTTTTCACTTTTTGACTATGTGGATAATGCTGCTGTGAACATTTATGTACAAGTTTTCGTGTGAACATAAGTTCTCAGTTCTTTTATGTATATTCGTGGGAGTAGAATCACTATGTCCTATGATATTTCTATTACTTAACTTTCTGAGGAACTGCCAAATTGTTTTCCAAAGTGGCTGCATCATTTACATTCTCATTAGCATGTATGACAGTTCTGGTTTCTCCACATCTTTTGCCAACACTTGTTATTGTCATCTTTTTGGTTTTAGTTCTCCTAGTGAGTGTAAAGTGGAATCTCATTGTGGTTTTGGTTTGCGTTTCTCTAATGACTAATGATGTTGAACAGTTGAACATCTTTTCGTGCGCTCAGTGGTTGTTATTGGTTGTAGTATGTTCTTTGGAGAAATGTCTATTTAAAGTTTTTAGTCATTTTAAAATTGAATTATTTGTGTTTTTATTGTCGTAAGAGTTCTTTATATATTCTGGATACAAGGTCCTTATGGGATATATGAGTTGCAAATATTTTCTTCCATTCTTTTGGTTGTCTTTTTACTTTCTTGATAATGCCCTTTGAAGTACAAAAATTTTTAATTTTGATGGAGTCCAATTTATTTTTTTCTTTTGTCATTTATACTTTTAGTGTCATATCTAAGAAACCATTATTTAACAAAGTTTACAAAGATTTATTTTTAAGAGTTTTATAGTTTTAGCTCTTATGCTTAGGTGTTTGATCCATTTTGAGTTAAATAGTGTGTATAGTGTACAGTAGGGTTCCTCTTTCATTTTCTTGCAAATGGATATCCAGTACGCCAAGCACCATTTTTTAAAAAGACTGTTCTTAGTTTGGACTCTTAATTCTATTTCACTGATATATGTCTATCCTTTTGCCAGTACCACACTCTTGATGATTATAACTTTGTAGTAAGTTTGAAGTCCTACTTTTTGAAGCTGCCCAACATTTGGTATCTCTTCTGAACTGTTGTTATACTTAGTACCTCAGTATAAGGCATTGAGTATATGCCATCTAATGCATATCATTGATCTTTATATATATATGCCCAGTCTTCCTGGGCAGATTAAGTGCTTTTGAAGGATAGGAACCATATCTTCCATGTCTTTGTGGACCTAGGAATCTTAATCCTGGTAAGCACTCATTAAATGTTCGTTGAGAATAATAATGATGCTCGACTGACTTAATTCTTTTTTAATTATGAAAAATTTCAAACATGTGAAAGTGCAGACATATACTGCACTTTCCCATATACTGTTTACTCAGATAAAATGTTATTAAAATTTAACATAATTGCTTCATTTATCATAGTGTTTTCTCACTTCACTGAAGCATTTTAAAGCAAGTCCAAGAGAACATATAATTTTGTGCCTACATATTCAGGTTCTATTTTAAAAAGTATAGACATTTGCTTACATATGCAAATGCCACAATGCCATTATCACATCTAACAAAAGTAGTAAGTTTTTGGCATTACCTAATTCCCAATCCACATTCAAGTTTTCCTGGTTGTCTTAAAAATGTCATCTTCATTTGATTTTTGCTAATCGGAATTCTTTTACATAGTATTTAGTTGTTAATCTCTTAATGAACTGATTTCTTATTTACATGGTGAAAACTCAGCAGTAAATTTTGTCAGATGCCGTACAGATTTTGTTCATATCCATAGTTTTGAATAATAAAGTCAGTATTTGCTTTTTTTCTCTAGCCACCTCAGTGAACTCCTCTCCTTTAACTCTTAAGCTGTGGCTCATATCTCTGCTACTGCTTCAGGAATTCTACTTCCCTGTAGTTTCTCATCTCCAGTGACCCACTCTACCTGCAGCCATCGCAGGGCTGTAAAACACTGCATTGTTAGTCCTTGGTGGTGGTGTATGAGTATCATGTAATGGGTGTGTCTTTGCCAAAGATGACTCAGTGAGTTTTGTACCTTTTACATTGTGCTCAGTCATTGCGTGTGTGTGTGTGTGTGTGTGTGTGTGTGTGTAGTACATGTACACATATAGGTAACTGAAAAGTTTCATAAAACAATTTAATAAAACAATTTATGTGTAATGTGTCAAAATATTTTCTATTTTCTATTCTATTTTATTTAAAATACATTGGTTTTGACCAATTGATTTTTACAACCCATTAAATGAGTCCTAGCATATATTTTGAAAAATACTAGTTTATTGGATAGTTTAGTACGAAGGAAATAGAAATTAATATACTTTTTATTTCATCTTTTAGCTAGGTCTAGTAGTTCTAGATACTTTTTACATCTTTTTTGAAAATTTAGAAGACTGAAAACTTTGGCTATGCCTATAAATAAATATACATATGTTGAACCAGAAAAAATAAAAAAAGATGAAAGTATATTTGGTGGTCCTACCATCTGAAAGGCAATTTCTTTGTTCCTGAAACATTCTTTAATAGTCTTTTTTTCTGTATAGATACGTCGTCATGAAATACACAAGTCAAAGAATAGGTCATTAGTACACTGGGAACTCCAAGAAAAAGCTTTGAAGAGAAAATGGAAGAAGCAGAAACCAGAAATTTCTAATCTTGAGAAAAGGAGATTGTCTATCATGAAGGAGGTAACGCTAAACTGCTATTTTTAGAGTTAGAAAGACAAGAGATAATTTCTCTTTTCCCTCAAATCTGATTGATTTTGGAGAGATTCCAGTAATGACTGCAGCCTTATTCAATGATCTACACATGGACTTGGAAAAATGCAGCAGTGACATTTAGAATCTAGTTTCGTGGTTTGAATTCCTGCCCTACATCTTACTAGCTATGTGACCTTTAACAAGTTATAACTTCTCAGCCTGAATTTTCTTATCTTTAAAATGGGACTAACACTATTTGCCTGATTATACTGTTATGAGATTTCTACAGTGATTAGCACAGTCCTTGGCACGTAATTAGTGCATTATAGTATATATAAGCTGCTATAATTATTTTTCTCAGTTCATATGCAGTGCTGTTAGATCACTTTGCAAAAAATGTTGTGTGTTTGTCCAGCAAGTTAGTTAGTAAGCCACTTGTTTTTGTCTTAATCTTATACCAGATGTAGGGTGTTCGGACAAGTAATCAGAAGTGTCCAAATAAACAATATGGGAAATAAGAGAAAGCTATGGCAAAAAACTCTTCTTTTTCTTGGGCTGAACTCATTGTGAAAGAAATGTGCTTAGTGTTGCTTCTCGTTGGGTGTTGAAGCTTATGCCATTTGGCTGTCTGGGTGATCTTTCAAGGCAGCTTTAAATCACATTCTGTCTTGAGGAATTCATTAGGCTTCTTAGTGAAATGTGAAAGTCTTGATCTTATAAATCATCAGGAAGAATTATATTTACCAAATAAATGTTTACATGAGCTTTAAAAAAAGAACAGTGGATTAAGAAAGAATGGTTCCTTACAGATAGGTATCTTTTGGTGATCTTGAATAAGTCACGTACATTTAAATGTTATATGGTAATTCTCAGTGAAAGGCCTATGAACATACATCTGGCCAGGAAAAAAGGCACCCTCTTTGGGGTGACTCTTTTGTTTCCCTTCCCTATTTACTCCTGCTCATGTTCTGAATTTCTTATGCAAGTAATAGATGTGGTAGAAGTATAGATTAAAAGAAGAGTGGTAAGAAAGGATGAGTGAAATTTCTCTGCTTTCTTTCTATAGTGCCACTTCCTCAGGCTCTAGTGTTTCTCAACCCTGACTACACATTAGAATTGTTCATGGTGAGAACTTCTTTTAAAAAATAAGTATATCTGGACCCAAATACATCTATACTCAGATATTCTGATTTAGCAGACCTGGGATGTGGCCTACTTAGATGTTTTTTAGACAATTCCTATGTAATTTAAATATGTTGCCAGTGTTAAGAACCTCTGCCATTAGTAGGGTTCAGGTATTTCCACTTAATGATGTATCTTGGAGGTTATTCCATGTCAGTACTTAGCAATCTACCTTTTCTTTTTAATGGCCAGGTAGTATACAGATGTACCACAGTATTTAAATATTTATCTAGTGCTTTATTGATGGACATTTAGGTTGTTTGTTAAAGTATACTTTAAGCTTCTGGAAAAAACAAAAGATCCCAAAATAGAATGATTTAAATAAAATAGAAATCTATTTCTCTCACCAAACAGTTCAGAGGTAAATGGTAGTTGGTAGGGGCTCTGTCTGCATTTTATATGTCTTTCATTACATGACTTCCAGAACAGAATAGCTGTTTCAGCTTTCTTTAGCTGTTTCCCAGCCAAAAGGAAGCAGGACTGGCTTATATCCTATCGGCCAAAAATATATCACATGACCATTCTTACCTGCTTGAATGGTTGGGAAATCTAGCTATGTACTTAGCTAAAACCTGGGAGTTCTGCTGTTAAAGAGAAAATGGAAAGAAAGAATATTAACAGATAAGTAGCAGTGTCTGCCACCTACAGATGGTTTCTACCCTTGCCACTATAAATAACGAATATCCTTGAATATGTTTTTGGGTACATGTATATTTGTAGGATAAATTCTTAAAAGTAGAATTACTGAGTCAAGAGATGTGCTCATCTATTATTTCAGTGTTGCTAAATTTGTAACGACTCTGTTAAGGGATGTGATGTGACCAAACGAAGAAGCCTCCTTGGGCTATCTTCTTAGGCTTAATCATGTATTAGAGCTACCAGGATCCATCCCCCAGAAGTTAGGCTCTGAGATTAACATAAAATAAGAGTAAAGTCCTTTGGCCAGCATAATCTTAGATTCATTCTTCGTATGATGCACTCATGTTATGAGAATCAATAACCAAAATCCAAATCAGAGAAAGGGAGGCTGTAATAGAGATTTTATAAATTCCAAAGGTGTAATAACTTCTCACATCTCTTTATAATTTCCCAATTCCATCTGGTTTTTATTACCACAGAACAAAAGTGCTAGGATAAATTTTCGATAATGTTTTTGAAGGGATCTTGACTGATCCTTTGAAAATCTAAGATGTATACCATCTCATAAGTTTGGTTTTGTGCTCTGCGGACCCTCTGGGGAAGTCATACATACAGATGGGCTCATAGAGCTTGGTTTACCTATCAAGAGGATGAGTTTTATCAGAGAGGAGTGATAAATCTATAAAGAGCAAAGCAAAGCCAATACAGTGACCTCTGGCCACTCAACCCATCTGCTCCAAGGAGCCTGGACAGAGACTAGCAGGGGGCAGCAGGGCAGTGGCTTTAACTGGAGATCTCATTATACTTGACATCAGATCTTGATATGATAAAATTATTCCTCCACAATCTTTATTTCGATAAGAGGTCCATGCTTCTTTAAAACATAGTAAACTCTTAAAACTACCATTAAGAAATACACTTTGTGCAATTTTTCTAGTGCGATACATTATAATGCTCCATTTGCTCTCTTTTCTAAGCTCTAATTGTACCTACTTGCAAGATGGCTAACCAGGAATAGAAATTTAGTGCATGGGATAATATAATTTAAGTCGTAACAACATTCTCAAATATTTCTAGAGTGGTATACAGGTTTTCAGTGTGTACACGTCCTTTTAACACCTCTGTGGGGTTGGGGAGGTGGTTATATTTTCATTTATATTTCAGGAAACTAAAGAGGTCAGATTTTGCTTAGTATCTTTTGGTTGGGCCTAGGATCCCTGTCTTCTGGCTCCAAATAGACTGTTTGCCTAATACCATTCCAAAGCTTAACTCTTTGTACAAGGAATAAATTCCGGACTTTATTCTCACCAATTAAGCCAGTCAGTCTACCTGCTTGGCCATAGCAGGAGAAGAAGGGGGAAGAGTCAGAATGTGACTCTTGTTATTTTTCTCTGTGCCTTAAAGCAGTAACTGAAGTCATATTATATATTTGCTTACATGGTCTAGAGAAATTCTGTTAAGAGCATTTGTTACTAGATGTCTTATTCATTTGAGTCAGTGTTGGAAACTAGAAAGTTTCCAATTTTGAGACTCCTTTCAACTTAAGAATGCCATCTGGTGGTAGTGGGTAGAGTTGACTTGCTTTTACTTTAGCCTGTGTAAATATGAAAGTTCCTAAGTTGAAATTGTGTAATCAGAGGCACTACTGTAATGGTATTTTTTGGGTTCACATCCCTTCAGGATAAAAACCCGAATTGTTTATAAATACAGAAAGGAGCAACAATTTTTGTTTAATGCCTCCAAACTCATATCTTACATCATGTTTTTTAAGTTGTGGGTCGTGATCTCGTCAGTAGATTATGCAGTAATTTTAGTGGTTGAGACCTCTGAGTTTATGGCTCAAAGATTCGTAACTTTAAACAGTATGTTTCAAATTGTGGATCACAACTTGTTAATGGATTGTGAAATCGTTAGTAGATTACAACCATCATTTAAAAAAAGTAGAGTAGAAACTAAAAAGAAAATATCAAAATGGTTTTCAAATATTAAGGTTAAATAAAACTTTTATTTTGTTATATATTTACATTTACGTGGGTGTGTACTGGGCCACTATTTAACAATCTATTTCTCAGGATTGCAGCCAAGCATTTGAAATCCACTAATTATTGTAATAGCCCCATCTACTGGTTCTTAAGAATATTTCCACTGAAAGATTTTAGTAAGGTAGTGAGTGACCTATGGTTATTTTTATGCTCTCTGCCTTTGTATGGACTTTTCCTTTGTGATTTGATAAGTGTATGTGTGTATGCGTGTGTACGTGCGTGTGTGTATATTTATTTATTTATTCTGAATAATAATATTTATTATTAACATATGTCTAGATTCTTTCTGATCAATACCAGATGCAAGATGTATTGGAAAAATCCGATCATTTGATGGCTGCAGCAAAAGATCTGTTTGTTGATTTTCCTCGTAGGCGCACAGGTAAAGTATTCAATTCAAAACAAAAGCTTCTTTTTCTTACTAACTGTGGTTCACAACTGGTTATTTGGGAGAATTTAAAATCTTTTTTCAGGCATCATATTATTTTTATTATAGGTATTCTAGAGTGGATAGCAAAAGTTGTTAGGCATAGATTCATTATAATCTGTTTGCTTTTCATTAAGAATATTAACTATTACAAATTACTCAGCTAAGGAAAAATAAATTGTTATTATATTTTATGGCATAATGCAGGGGTCCCCAACCCCCGGGCCTGGTACCGGTCCGTTGCAAAACAATAACTGGGCCACACAGCAGGAGGTGAGTGGTGGGCCAGCGAGTAAAGCTTCATCTGTATTTGTAGCTGCTCCCTCCAATGCTAACATCACCGCCTCAGCTCCCCCTCAGATCATCAGGCATTAGATTCTCGTAGGAGCACTGATCCCTGGTGCCAAAAAGGTTGGGGACTGCTGATGTAATGTATAAGATTTTATAATTTAAAATACAACTTAATTTTTAGTTTATTAGTATTAAATTATCATATAATTAAAGTATTTGTGTTTATATGTAATTTGAATAAAGCTTAATTTGAAACCTAAAGCAACTTCAGCCTCTCTCTAAAAGGAACTTCACCTCTTCTCAGATATACAGCATTATTCACTTTAATTTGTTTAGAATCCATTCTTTATCTTAATCCCCAAAAAGAAATCATTAGTTTTTAGTTTAAGGTTTGAATCATGGCTTGGCCACTTATCAGTGTGACTCTGGGCCAGTTGCTGCAGGTTTCTGAGTTTCAGTGTACTTACTGATCTAAAATAATAATGGTAACAACTTAATAGGATTTTGTGAGAGCAACATGATTTAATATATATAAAAGCATTTAGAATTGTACCTGTCATATAGTAAGTACTATGTAAATGTGAGCTGCTATTATTAAAGATTTTCATATGATGACACAAACCTGTGGCAGTGTATAGTGCTTCTGAAGTCACTTTAATTAAATGAAACAAAATCATTATGACCTTTTCCTTCTGCAGGGTTTCCAAATGTAACAATGGCTCCTGATTCCTCTCAAAGTCCCATTGTGGTAAATCAAGACCCTGTCACCCAGGCTATTCTTAGTGAATCTGTCATAGAGCCTCAGGTAATGTGCTCTACTTGCAGCCACAATGCTACTTATTGGTATTTGATCTTCAGTTGATTTGATCTTGAGTTGATTTCTTAAGGTATCTGAGTTGGCTCAAAGTGTTTTTTTGTTTTTTGTTACATGCTATACCTGCTATAGTTGTTATGAGGATCAGCTGAGATAGGTTATGTAAAGAGCCTAGCATAAGACCGTGTACTAGATCTTCACTGAATGTTGATCTCTTCTAATATGTTAGTATGCTTAAAAGGTAGTTACTAGGAAACTTGGAATTTATTGACCAGTTACATGGGGAAATTATAGTAGTAAAACATTACCCAGTTGCATCTTAATCTAATTGGAACTCTTAATTAATCAAAATGTGTAGAATTTTGAGATAGTAACATTTTTTAAAAGCCCAGGAAGAATTTAATACTAAAATAAAACTCATGAATGATTAGGACTCAGTACCTGTTTAATGCAGTTTCTTAGTTATTTATATCTTCTTTGAAAAAAGGAGAATCATTAATTAGAGGGATGATCCTAGGGAATACAAGATCCAGAATGATTAAAGACTTGTTAAGTATACTGTTTTGTACTTACAAAGGCAATTAAATTGAATGTTATACGTTTTTTAAATAGCCACAACCTATTAGCCATATTGCTATCAAAAAATCATTTATATTTTGGTACTTACTAAAAAGTTAGCTTTCAGATAATCATGGTCTCTATCATAGGGCTGCATAGTGGCAAGAGATGAGATTAGAGAGGGAGGAGCTAGGTCATGAAGGGTGAAGGAACAGAAAGTACAAGTAGAGCCACTAAAGAATTTTAAGAGGAACAGTCATGATGAAATTGACTGTGATGTGGAAGATGGACAAGACTGGCAAGAGGATCTGGTTAAAAGACTTAGGTTGGAATCTTAGTGAAAGGTTGGGAGGACCTGACCCAAAGAAAGTAGTAGCAGTAGGGAAGAAGGTATAGAGGAAGAGGGATAGATTGACAGATTAAAAAGGGGTAGAAGTAACAGAATTAACAGGGTGGCTGATTGGATGTGACAAATGAGAAGGAAAGATAATTCCCAGTTGCTGGCTTGAGCATCTGAGTAGATGGTGATGCTGTTTATGGTCCTAGGTAATATGGCAGGAACAGGGTTTCTGGAAGAATGATAGGAGAGACTTAGGGAAATGATCATTTTTAGACATGTTGAGTATATATGTGTAGGATGTTTTACCAGGGATATCTTTTAGGCTTTTAGCCAGTTGGATATAAATGTCTAGGGCTTAAGAAAGATCTAAGTAGAGACAGAGATTTGGAAATTAATAGCATTGACTCATAATTGCAGCTTTGATATTAGAAAGTCTTTCAGAAAGTGAGTCAGATGAGAGGAGAAAAGGTCCAAAGGGAGGACCTTGAATCACATCAGCTATAAGGGAAGGGTAGAAAAAGAAGAACCAAAAAAAGGTTGGGAAGGAATGGCCAGAAGAATAGAAGAAAAACCAAGAAAATATAGTATTATAGAAACAAAAAGAAGAGTGTATCAAGATTTTAAAGGAAAGAAATAAGTAGTTATTAATATCTAATGAGTCAGAGAAATAAGGGAAGGCAAGGACTGAAAAATATCCATTTGATTTAGGAACAAGTGTGGTGATGTTGACCTTGCAGAGAGCAGTTTGAGTGGAGAAGCAAAGAGAGAAGATAGGTCGTAGCTGGAGGGAGGCGGCGGGGATATAGGGTCAGGATAAGATGGGAGAGACTTGCTCTCATTTAAATGTGGATGAGCTGAAGCCAGAACAGCGAGAGAAGTCGAAGATGCAGGAGAGAGAAGGGGCAATTGATGGAGTGGAGGAGGTGAGAGGGTTTGGGCTGTAAAACACATGGAGGGATTATCCTTAGAAAGAGGGACCTCTGTTCTGTTATAGCAAAAAGAACAGATGAGAGTATATATAACTAACTTGTGTTTTTATTCTTATTTTTGTGTTGAGAAAGGCTCTTAATGAACTAGACGATGGTGAAGAAGAAGAAGAAACTGTTAACAGCCAGTCAGAAGAAAGTGAGAATGAATTAGATAACTCTCTAAATTCTCAGTCTACCATGCATGCAGACAGGTATGTATATATGGCATAAATATCTACAATTTTTTTTTTATATAGCTGTTTTTTTTCTGGCTTTGAGATACATTGACATATAATGTTGTGTAAGTTTAAGGTGTACATTTATACATTTATATATGAAAAATGATCACCATTGCATTATCTAATACTTCCATCACATTACATAATTATTATTTCTTTTTTGTGGTGAGAACATTTAAGATCTATTCACTTAGCAACTTTAAAGTATATAATACAATATTATTAGCTATAATCACCATGTTGTGCATTAGACCCCCAGAAATTATTCATCTTATTACTGGAAGCCTGTACCTTTTTACTGTCTTCTCATTCCCCTCCCCTCCCCTCTCCCCTCCCCCAGCCCCTAGTAACCACCATCCTACTTTGTTTCTGGGAGTTGAGCGTTTTTAGCCCATTTTCCATTTGCCCCAATACTCGCCGGTGGTACTTGGGGCTGCAGTGTTTACCCCCAAAGTTTGCCACGAAATATCTTGCTTTTATTGTTGTTTTTGCATCACTCTACTATATCAGTAGTCTTTGGAAACAAATGACATCATTCTACATATGGTATTCTGTTCTTAGTAGTGGTATTGCCATTTACAAAATATAATAATTCTTGATCGCTGAAAACGTCAAGTTCTAGAAAACGTAGCATTCCTACGCGTGATATAAAATTAACACTGGCAGCGAGCTGCACATTTTTTTTTTCTAAATGGGGAATGGGTTAGATTCCACATAGAAGTGATACAATATTTGTCTTGCTTGGTCTCACTTAACTCAGCAAAATGCCCTCAAGGTTCATACATACATTAGGATTTCCTTTTTTCTCATGGCTGGATAATATTCCATTGTGTGTATCTGTCTATCCATCTATCTGTTCTATCTCACATCTTCTTTAGCCATTCATTCATTGACACTTAGGTTGTTTCTATATTTTGGCAATTGTGAGTAATGCTGCAGTCAATATGGAAATGCAGATATCTCTTTGAGGTCCTGGGGTCCTTTTCATTTTCTTTGGCTATTTACCCAGAAGCGAGATTGCTGGATCATATGTAGTTCTATTTTTAATTTCTCGAAGAACTACTTTACTGTTTTCCATAATGGGTGCACCAATTTACATTTCCACCAACAGTGTGCAAAGGTTTCTCCACATCCTTGCCAGTGCTTACTATCTTTTGACTTTTTGATGATAGCTATTCTAAACAATGTGGGGTGATAGCTCATGGTGATTTTGATTGGCATTTCCCTGACGATTTGTGATGTTGAGTACCTTTTTATGTACCTGTTGGCTATTTGTGTGTCTTCTTTGGAAAAATGTCTATTCAGTTTCTCTGCCTGTTTTTGTAATCGGATTGTTCATTTTTTCTCCTCTGGAGTTGTATGAGTTATTTATATATTTTGCATATCAACTCCTTATCAGATATATGTTTTACAAATATTTTCTCCAATTCTGTAAGTTGCGTTTTCATTTTGTTGTGTTTCTTTTGCTGTGCAGAAGCTTTGTGGTTTGATATAATCCCACTTATTTATTTTTGTTTTTGTTGTTGCTTATGCTTTTGGTGTCATAACCAAAAAATTGTCATCAGACCAGTGCCAAGGACCTTTTCCTCTATGTTTTCTTCTAGGAATTTTACCATTTCAGATCTTATGTTTAAATCTTTAATCCATTTTGAGCTAATTTTTTTGAGTGGTCCAAATTCATTCTTTTGTACTTGTTTATACAGTTTTCTCATTAGTATTTATTGGAGAAACTATCTTTTCCCCATTGAGTAGGCTTCACTCCCTCGTCAAATATTAGTTGACTATGTATGTCAGGGTTTTTCCTGGCTCTTGATTCTATTCCATTGGCCTTTGTGTCTATTTTCTGCTGATAACTTTGATCACATACAGCCTATCCTTTTACTCTT